GACAACCCTCGATCACTAGTGGTCCTCGTAGAAGAGGAGCTAGTTGCCATAGATCTAGAAATGGAAGGATGGCCAGCTTTCCGCCTGCCTTACCTGTCGAGCCTTCACACGTCGGCCATAACCTGTACCCATCACTGCAGCCATGTTCCGCAGGACCTGTGGGACAGGATTGTAGCTGCAGGCAATAAACAGATTGAAAACCACTACTCCTCCGGAGTAAGTGTGTTAGTTAGTTATTAAAGTTGCCAGGGAATGAATAAATACAGTAATCTCTTGGTAACTTGGAATATAATATAACTCCCTTAAAAAAATATTCAGGCTTTCTAACTATGCGAGAAAAGTCCTTACAAATTCTCCCAAACAAACTGCTAACTTTCTCATGGGAAAATTTTATTTATAATAAAAGAAATGTACATGTATCCGTACAGAGCACAAAGTAATGGATCGCATCATTTGATTGATACAAATATTGACTCTCTATTGGTTGTAGATGATGTATAATTAAATGTAAGAGAACTATTAACAAATCCCGTGTATGCATATATAAGCAAAAAAAATTATGGTTTGTTTCAGCAATGACTATATTATTGTGAGTAATTTACATTGAATTTCGTGATTTTTAGGGGGTGGGGGGATAAAATAGAGAGGAGAATATACATAGAGAAAATGTGTCGAGTTTGTCACACTAGGAGGGGAAATTCAGGATTTTTCTTAAATATTGCCTTATAGAATTAAGAACTTAAAATGTATATACTACTAAAATATGGATTATTGGCTTCTAGCAATTAGTATAGCATAAAATCTAACAAGTTTAATAAAATTTTAAATTTAAGTCACTAAAATCTTGTCATGCACAGTAAAGGATACCTGGAGCATAACTCGCTACATTCAGAGTAGCTGAGTGACGATAGAATTTCATACAGTACCCAAGCAGTTTCTCCCTCAGTTGAGCTTTGGTCAGTGTACTGTGCATTGTTGCTGTGTATTTTACCCTGTTTATTTATTGTGTTCTAAGTGTTATTCAACCCTTAAAAATATGGCATCTAGAAGTTATAGAAAGGGATTGAAGTTAAAATCCCTTAGTCTTAAAGAAAAGAAGTTTTGGAGAAGGTGGATGCAGGTGTGTCCATGTTTAATGTGTGTGAGGAGTTTAGCATCAAAACAACACATTTTATGATATTAAGAGCAGGTACAAGATTAAGGTGCATGCTTTAAGTTTGGAGGATCCAAGCAGTTCAAATAAGACCCAGAAAAGGATAAAGCCGGCTAAATATCTCAACTTGGATCAAGCAGTGTATAAGTGATAAGAGCAAGAGCTTGCTTCTGGTGTTAACATAAGAGGTGTGGACATTCAAAATGCTCCACCACATCATGAACAGCACCTGAACATTGAAGGCTTTACAGCAAGTAGTGGCTGGCTGTTCAACTTTTGGGCTCGTCACTGCTCAGTGTAAAAGTTACAGGGGAGTCTGGAAGTGCCAATCTTGACAGCATTGAGCCCTTCAGAAAGCAGCTAGAGAATATTATGGAAGATACACAACTTCTCGTGACCCAGATATACAATGGAGATGAAATGGGCCTCTTCTGGAAGGTTGTGCCTACCAAAACACAGGGTGCTAGGCACAAGTCCCACATACCTGGTAGGAAAATGGGAAAAGATCGAATCTCCATTCTCTGCTGTGTGAATGTGTATGGCACCCACTGACTGTAACCAATGGCGGTGGGTAAGGAATCCAAGGGCACTCAAGAACATTATGAACAGCTTACCAGTGATCTACTGGGGGGGAATAAAACTGCCTGGTTTATTTGAGATATGTTCCACCATTGGTTCCACAACCGTTTTGTACCTGCCGTGATCAATTACCAGGCAGATTTCTTGGGTGTTGCAAGAGAGAGTGTGAAGGCCATCCTCCTGCTTGACAATGCCCTTGCCCATCCCTCTTTGGAGGAGCTTGAAGACCATATCAAGGCGATGTTTTTGCCTGCTAACACCACTGCCTTGATTCAACCCCTGGACGAGGGAGTAATCAAATTCTGCAAGTGACACTAAAAGAACACTCATCTGGGAGAGTGCCTTGTGGTGTTGGAAGATGAAAGTGACAAAGATAATGAAACAAGGGGGGCTTGCACTTTGGAAAACTTTAAAAAGTACAACATTCCCAATGCAGTGTTCAACTGGGCAGAGACACGGAAAAGCCTGTGTATCAACCCTCAGTAATGCGTGGAACAATTTCTTTAAAGACACCGAAGTTGAGGTAGACTTTGAGTTTTGGACTGAGGGCATTGTTAACTTGCTACACTGAGGTGGCGAGACAGAGGTGTCAAAGGACGATATTGTGGAGTGGCTGGAAAAGGGTTTTTGGCATGCTACAGAGGAAGAGAGCCACTCTTGTATCTCAGAAAGGCACAGAAGAACGAGTGATGACAGTGAAGATGACCCCACTTCAAAGCCCAAGTTATCAGATCTTTGTTTATACTAGGACAAGGCCTTCAGGCAGTTGAGCGGTTGCCTGATTTGGAACAGCACTCTGCACTCTTTGAGAGATGTCAAGGTAGATGTCATCAAGCATCAGCACAGTAATTACGAACAACAGCACTATGCAACTTTGAGAGACATCAAGGTAGATGTAATCAAGCATCAGCACAGTAATTACGAACAACAGCACTATGCAACTTTGAGAGACATCAAGGTAGATGTCATCAAGCATCAGCACAGTAATTACGAACAGGAAAATATCTGTACTTTTTTTTTTTTTTAAATGTTTTTTCTATTTTTAATTGATAAAAAAAAGCAGCTTGAATCATCATCTTTCTTGGTCTGCAGTTCTGTTAAGTGTTAATTTTTAACGTTTTTTTATATTTCATTTTATTTTCAAACAACAGTAGTGTATAGTAGTTTATTTGGGCCAAAAGAAGTTGTGATTTGTGGGTGGGAGGAAATTACCTCAATAACTGCATGGCTTTAGCCATATTTTCACAGTTATCAAGGGACTACTGTATTTACAAGAATTGAAAATGTTCTGCTAATTTGTCTTTCCTTGTAAAAATGCTCATGCTCCTCATACTTGAAGTTTTTTTTTTTTAAATAAATAATCATTGTGATTTAATATTTCAGCATGATCTCTCTCTCCCTTTGTTGTAATTGATGACGATTTAAAATATTGGTCATGTGGACATCCTGTTTTTGATGTACCTTCAAATTCGGACATTTTAGGCTTACATTCCATTTAGATGTTGTCTTGGCATAACTTAGGAGCACAGTTCTTGTGAATACAAGGCTTGGCATTAAGCTATCTTTATATTAGATACTTTCAGAAATGTGAGTAACAAAGATAAGGAATATTGGTTTGAAGTATTAAAATCATCATTAAAATCATATTTTATTACAATCTTACCATAATTTACTAAGACATGGGTAAAATACATAGACACGATTATTTTACCATACTTTATGGTGAAAAAAATATGATAAAATAATATCTACAACAATAAAGTAAATAGAGGTTGTTGCTGGCTGATGGTTAGGAGTTCAGGACAGCATCTAGCTAACCAGACTGTGTACAGACAAATATGCTGTGATGAGTCTCCATAATTGGAGGAGGAGAGCTCCTGCTAAACCCTTCTATTAATATTTGATTGTAACATTCACGTGTTTTGTTTTTCTAATTATTGATTGACAACTCTATGAGTTTGTAGTAAAAGAAAATTACTTTGTTTCTGTAGGACTGGCCAGTCACTGGTGGTAAAAATCTTTTAGAACCACCCACTGTAAGAGAGTTGATACTGACGGGACACGAGGACGGTACCATCAGGTTTTGGGATGCTTCCGGAGTGTGTCTGAAACACTTGTACACCTTAAGAACTGGCAGTCTTTTTGAAGGGGAAGAACACGAACAGGCACCTGTAGAGGAGGGCGAGGAATGGCCCCCGTTTCGGAAAGTTAGTAGTTGTTGTTGCATAAAGTCAATTCTTGGTATAACGTTTTACGTGCTCAGTTTGTTGTGGTTAAAACAGTGCGATAATGTGATTATTAAGTTGTCACACCATTTTATGTTGGCGATTTTTGTTATTGCAGTATCAAATTTTACACATGATAAAATTAATTCTAAGTTTAACGAGACTTCAATAGTATGTATTCCAGTGATTAAAATCGTGATTGTTACCTTGTATTATGAACATTTTAAAATCTAAATGTAGCTACCTGAGTAAAACAGTAACTTCCATATTCATGCCAATTTTTTTCAAACATCTTTTTGTTGTGAAAAATTTGTGTACCATTTTAAACATATTTGTAAAAAAATGTTCAAATACAACCAGACCATGTACATAGACTTTTATCACTTGAATGTCTTAGTCACATTAGACAACAAATAAAATCCCTTCTTTATCCCACCAGAAAAAAAAAAATTAAAAATCCATTTGAGCCCATATGAGAGCTTAAGTTTGAAAATTTACAATATTTTAGGGCATTTTGTTATCGGTTGTTTCGGTGAAGTATTACATCAACATGGAGACCTAAACAGATTCCATGGTAACTTGTGGGTATAAACTTTTAATGTTGCCAGTTGTCATTTCCATGGTGTTACAGAATGTAGAAATGACGAGTATTTCCTTAAGTTATTGATGTTAAATTTGGGCAAGTTTATTTTGTTATCGGTTGTTTCGGTGAAGAATTACATCAACATGGAGACCTAAACAGATTCCATGGTAACTTGTGGGTATAAACTTTTAATGTTACCAGTTGTCATTTCCATGGTGTTACAGAATGTAGAAATAACGAGTATTTCCTTAAGTTATTAATGTTAAATTTGGGCAAGTTTATTTTGATTGGTTGTGTTGGGGAGAATGTGTTAAAGGTTGAAACACATCTATAATACCTTATTTATCATCAGGCTTGATAAAATGTTTACTGTATTGTTTACAGAATCTAGTGACCACAAAGATAGAAAAAAAAAACGTTGGCTTTAGTGGCTACTTGAAATATGAAGTAACTTTTTCTTTTCAGATGGGGAATTTTGATCCATATAGTGATGATCCCCGTCTTGCAGTTAAAAAGATAATTCTCTGTGTCTTGAGTGGAGTCCTGGTTGTAGCAGGAACTGCTGGCCAGGTGATTGTTTTTGAGATAAAAGATGAACCAATAGAGAAGGAAGTAGAGGTGAGTGTTAAATTTTTACTTATTCACAATCGTTGTGAGTCATTCTACACATACAAGGATTGTAATGTTGTTCAAACAGGGCAAGGCAAATCATTCAGAGTAAATGGGCACTATTTCATTGGTGTAGGATTCAAATTAATTATGTCCAGTAAAGAAAACATAAAATTGCTGGTCAAATAATGGATCATGGACTATGTCCTTAAGTAATCACATCACAAAGAACAACAACAACAACATAAATCGTATGAATGGTGTTATTCCTATCAACTAGAGTATTGTGGAATTTATTTCCTATGTGATTTGGATTTTTTTTTTTACATTTATTCACAAATTCCTGTTGCCATGTTAAACAATTCTTATTATAAGATTGATGCCTGACTAATGTTTTTTTCTGTAGTTAGGCAGTTGGATACTTCTCTAAAAAAAAAAAACAACCTTCATCCATAAAAGCTACAAGTTGTATATTATTTCTGTGATTCTTTATTGTGCTGTTAAGTATTTTGGAATTCACAACGTTGATATATAGTTGACTACTTTATTAGTTATTGAGCACATTCTGTTATAGCTGCTTGATTTTTCTCCCCATTGTGAATATAAAGGATGTCTAATTTATGGGTTGATTTATACAAGTTAGAACAAGGCTTAGAAGAAGATTGCTGTGTTCTTGCATGATGAAGCTGCAAAAATTATGAGGCTTTCAACAAAGTTGAACATTTTTAACTTGAGATAGTTGTAACCTGCTGGTCGTGTTCCACACAGGTCAAACTTTTCTGGTAAAGCTCTGTCTTGCAGAAGATTAGATTAGCTAGTAGTCAGGTTGTATTCTAGTGGTCAAGTTCCCTGTGTCTTGCAGAAGGTAAGATTAGCTAGTAGTCAG